CGATGTTCAGAAAGATTACTAAATTTAGCAAAGCCAAAGTGGCTCGATAACAGCGATCGAGCTCGAGCCACTCCTGTCTGTCGATGGTCTTCAATCTTCTCCAGGCCACCAAAATAAATCGAAGACAATAACCAGAACTTCCTGTAGGTCGTCGAACTTCGTACTCCTTCGTGATTTACGAGAGTTCTTATCATCTGTCTAATCGCGCAATTTTATTGGTTAAGAAAGATTCCATTATGTTCTTCAAATCCACTTCCGATGTTGATTGAAGCTATAATTGCTCTGAAATTTCCTTCATTTCAAGATAAAGTAATCATTTGCCAAATTTTCTAATTACTTCGGACTTTCTATGATTTATTATTAAGCGGTTTTGACTTTGTTCAATTTTCAAGACCATGGAACGAGTTTTTAATCTACCGTCAACACAACTAGAGGAAATAAAAAACAACGCGGAAGATTACGGTCTGATTTAGTCATCTGTTACGAAATTGACACCATTGATCGATCGTGTAAATTTGTTTTAATAAGTTCTGAGTAATATGATCTTTCTTAACCTACAAATGACAATCAACGATAGCTCAACTTCGATGATGTAACGTAATCAAGTGATCTTCAGCACTAACAATACATTATTCAATTTATTGAGTTCATAAAAATAACAATCGAATAAACATAATCAACCAAGGACGTAAAGTATGAAAAGGTGAGTCAAGAATTAATTAAAGCAACGAAGCGCAACGGGCTGGAACGGGAAGAAAGAATTTTGAAACCGTGGTTTGTCTGGTACCGCGACGAGCGGAGCGTGATACGTTAACGCGTTCTAACTCGGCTCGGTGGGACGAATTCCGATCCCCTGGAACTTAATTAAAGTAAGCGAAAGAAAGGAATTTCTGACAACATTTAATCGCGTGTGCAGAATGTATAAGCCTCTCTGCCAGCGACTTCGTGCGCCACCGTCAGATGAAATACCTTCAAAGGTCCGACCATGCCCCTATTTCACCAAGATTACCGAAAACATATGGGACACGTCAAAAAAGAACTGTGGAAACTAGGAACCCAGTCAAAAATATGCTAACGGTCTCGTCGCTACTGGCAGCGCGACGCCGATTCTTTGAAGTTCCTCCTATTTCCACCCTCTTTCCCTTCTGAATTTCCTCTCTTGCACGCTCGCCCTCTTCCGTGTTGAAATCTTCTTTGCCATGGTAGACCTTCGGTTATGCAAAGCGCCGGCAAAGACGATCTATCGTCGTACAATCGATCGATGAAAATAGAAGGAATAACGCACGTGGGGTTAGACGTACATTCCACGAGACCAAGGAAGTATTTGAAAATGTGAACCACGTAAGTAACCGTGGAGTTTGTTCCAAGTATGTGGAAAGTTCCGGGGTAAATTTTCACGTTCTTCTGGTGTACGATCTTCATAAGCTCCGATGGAATATCCCGAAAGAAGAGAAAGCGGAATGCCGGAGGTTGCTTTAAATCAGCTTTTAATGGCAAACGCATCGGCCAATGACCAAACTTCCTCGACTACCATCTCGCTCTCTTCAACTTTCCAACTATTCGATACCTTGTAACTCGGAAATTTAGAACCGACGAACTAGTAATTTTGTAAACTCGCCAACTCGCTCGAGGTTTACTTTCATTCCGCTCGAAATCACGACCGCTTGTAAACCTAGCCGCGAAATCTTCGCAAGTTGAGGAGTCCGCGATTGTTACCAAAATTTGTTAGTCTTCGCTCGGTTCTCCAGCGATCGGACGAAAATTCCTATATCTCCTTATATAATTTTTTTAAATAGATGTTTGAAATTCTACATCCATTTATTTACAAATGTAGGATATTGAATAATAGAATTATGACTAACGCGGAAAATGATCATTACATTTGTACGAATTACACAAATCATGAATAATTAATTATTCTTGAAACATGAAACTAATTATTAATTGCGTTATTCGAGGGTAGTCTGTAATTCGTAAAACTTTCCGGAAGCGAAACCGGTTCGCAGGGACCGAGAAGCGGAGCGAGATGAATCCAGTCGTTTCATAACTGTGATACTTGTACGGCTGTTCGGTTTCGTCCAACTTTGAAATAGCGCGTCTTTGAAATGCGTTCGGTGCCTTGTCTCGTCTAATAAATGTCGGCGGTTTGATGACTGTTAATAAGATTATGCTTTTGATCTGATCTACTTAGATGTTTGACGTGAATTATCTCGAAAATGAAATTTCCGCCGCTTGAATCACGAACCTGAATTCGTTTATTTCAATACCTTCTTATTCCTTAATACGTTCATTTTTCGATACTTTTCAATAATTGTGATAATCAATGACCGCATTTTTTTAAACAAATATGCCGATTCAGGCAAGTAAAATTGTCCGCGAATACCGCGACACATCCGTTTGAGTATCTTACGTAAAATATCGATCTCAAAGACTCCTGAACTCAAATTATCCTGAACTCAGGAATTTAGTATTCGAAAAAGTTTCGTGACAGTGGCACAGAGCTGCAAAGTGCAAGAACGAGCAAACAACAATCGCGTAGAGAAAACGAAAGGGAAGCAGGAGCGGATAAAAAAGAGCAACGAAAGAATCTAGAGAAAGGGAGGATGAGAGGCGGGCCCTGTCGCGTTATTTACTCGCATGGCACTTGACGTCAGTCTCGTTTCCCGGCTCTCGTCGCCGGGACACAGGGGATTCGATTTCGCGGCCCGTGCAAGTAGAAGCGCAAGTAAATTACGCCGGCGAAGTAATAAACTAGAGTGCACGGCAGAATTGCACGATACGCAGCGATACCCTTTCGCGCGACGTTTCGAATAAATACTTCTCGTAAAACACGCGTCGATCCGCGCACGCTCTTGATCCGCTGTATGATCCGCTGCTTGATACGCGACAGAGCACACACACACCTCGTCGTATCCAGTCGGGTCGAATCGAACTCGGCCTGGCAAGAAGAAATCTCCTTCCTTTATTCTTCTTCCTTAGTGTGTATCTACGTAATCATGGAAGACGATTCGATCCAAGGGAATGCAAATACGAAGGAACGGCAAGACGAAGTACGATCAAGATCAAGAGAAGAACACGGAGGAAGGGAATGAAGAAGTAGAAAAATCGTTCGAGCGTTTCTCTTCCTAGTCGCATGCATGATAGCGAGGCAGCTGCTGGTTGTTAACTTTGACCTTTCAACCGAAACTGAAAACTGAACGCTCGACGCATATATATATCATCACACACGTAGTAGTATTTGTTCGTTGTATCTCCTTTATATAAAGTTATCGAAACATAGAAGATACAATATAATGATGTTGAAATTCGAGGCGATATTGCATATTCTTTGTATTTCGTACTTTTACTCTAATTTTTAACGAACCTTTAAATGATATACATTCTTTTACTTGATTATACCCGTAGGATATATCGACGAAATTCGGCTATTAGCTTCTGGCACGCCCTGAATAAACGTGTATACACGTAGACTGGTACAGGTGCGGCTTGCGCACAACTGACACGCAGCCAGTTCGAAGTTATTCGTAACACAGAGAGATCCGACCCGAAGCCTGTTAACTTGGTGTTTGAGAGAGCACGCTAGACCTGGCTAGGGATGGATAGAGCCGGCATCTGGGAAAACTCGGCCGGATAGAGGGAAAATGTTTTGAAACAGGCCAGAGAAAAATTCATTTCGGCATTTCAAGTTGAAAATGGGACGGAATACGGTGAAAAGGAGTTTCGCCGTATGCCTGGCGAGATATTGGTTCTCTTACAGCGTGTGCGCGAGCGGGCAAGAGCTCGCGAGCCCCTGCTCTTGTGAAAAAGGAATATCGCATACAGAGGGACGGAGTTGATATTGGTCGTCCTATATACGGCTTGGTAAACCACAAACAATTTACGAACGTCCCTCCAGTCGACGCCGGAGCTGCTGCCATAAACGCACCGCGAGAAAAGTGGAAACCGCCGCTGCAGTCATGCGTTCGAAACATCTACCAACCTTCAGCGGCGCATTAAGTATGAACATGAAAATTTATTGCCACGCCGTGCAACATGGGCTTGTCAACAAATTGTTGCTGCCCTACCGCCGAGATTTATTTATCGAACACAAAGATCGCTTGAACCGAGAATATCAGCAGAAGAGGTGGATGATGAGTCTTGGGTTTTGGTAAATGTAATAGGATCATGGCTTAATAGCATGATATAAAAATAGAAATCTGAAGAGATACAAAAATTAAAAAAGAAGCGAGGAGAATGGTAAGATTAACACATAAGTTCCCAGAAAAATTACGTTTACTTAATCTAACTTCAAAAACACTTAAACATAGCTGGAAACTTTGCTATCTCAACCACTAAGCGTTGCTTGGGCAGACTAACTTAATACAGTAAAAAGCTGCGTTTAGAGAAACGCGTAACTCAGCGCTGTTTCAGTTGGAACGAGCAATTTTCATTTAACTCTTCGATTCAGTAGTCGACTCGTGCAAGTTAGTTGTTAAGCAGGAGGAAATACATTACGATTGATCTTTGAACTCTAGACGAGGTTCATTAAAACGCTAACGAAATGCCGGCATAATTTTTTGCAGAAGGAGCAGAGTTGAAAGCGAAAAGAGCACGAGACACGAGAAACTATGACGTAAAATATTGATAGAAGAAACTAATGTAGAAGGCGTACCAAAGACCTAGTTCCTCGGCGCATGCAAAGTTGGAATATGAACCAGAGCATATTTCTCTAAATTTTTTATTAAACAGTTGGCTACCTAAAATCTTTGGCCAGTTGGTCAATGGAAAGCACGTTTCGGTGCATCCTCGAAATCCGTGATAAAGTTCACTGAAACACTTGCGAAATATCGGCGGTGTGTGTCGAGAAATTACCGGTCAAAAGAATATTTAATTTCTTTAAACCTACCCTTTCACGAGCGAGGAGAACTTTTAAAATTATGAGATTCTTTGAAATCAATCTTGACACGTAGGTCTGACTCGTCGGATCTTCATTAAGAAATATGATTTAATGTTATACGTACATGTGAGGGCTCCATTCCATAGAGGATTTTACGCTTTAAAACTTCAACATGCTTTCAATGTACGTACCTGCAAGAAGGAAAATTATAAAATTTATTAAATTTCTGTAACGATAACAACGCTATAAAAACGAACAAAATATTCAATTGTCAGGCGTAAAATTCTCAAAGTTACTAGAGAAAAAGGTATGCTTGGGACAAAAATATCTTCATTAAAATGTTTTCGAATCTATAGAAACGTGTATCGAGTCGCGCAAAAATAGAAAATAATTAAGAAATTCAAAATATGCTTGAGTGGTTACTCATAATCGTTGCTAATATCATCGTGTACACACATTACGTATTATCTACAAACAAGTGAACCAAACTTCCATTCAAGCCGCAGACTGCTTAAATAAGTACACGCGGACGATCGATGACGGCAGGTTATCGCGTCAACAGCAATGACAAATCGTGTGTCGAACAAGAATTCAGTCAATTAGCGATTGAACGTGAGGGTATATAACAACGCTTCGATCTGGAATGTTTGACTAAGGAAATGTCAATCATCGGCACTAATCGACAGAATTATCTCTCGAATGAGCAAACGAGGCATCTTGGCGAAAAATATCGTCTGTGCTAAACTTGGTAAGTCATATTACGTCTTTTATATTAAACTAACTTACGAATTTCTCAATGTTCCCGCATATAATAGCGTGAATGTAATAACTGTCAATTATTATGGTATACTGCTTTAAAATTGCACTACCTTCTTGATCCTGAATTCTCTAAGTTATGATATGAAATATATAATGTCTACCAAATAATTATTAGTTAGACGTAGAAGTCGTAAAGAGGATTAATAAAGAATTAAGATATTTGATTAGATATTAAAATGAAATTTGTAGGAAAAGTGTATGAAGTTTGGATGTGTTCTGTACAAGGATTTCTTTCTACAACGCGACGGTCTATTTTCCGACTCAGCTACATAATCGAACTAGGTTTGCCTGCATTGATAAATCTGCTTGTCGAAATTTTGATTTCCTAAGAAGGATTTGCCGCAATAATTCAGCGTATCACTCGTCGTCAGTAAAGTCCCTGGTGCAATTTACTCCATTGGCGGGAAGAATAGGAAACGTAAAGAACAAAGCCAAGAAGGAAGCCGGAGGATTCTGAAGATGAAACGAATTCGTCTAACAATATCGTATCTCTCTGATGTACGTGAGGAGAATACCACTGGAAGACCAGAGTGGTGGTCAGCAACGAGCTGACATTCCGCATTCGAGTAATTTTCGTCGTTTCTATGAGCGTGCACCTGTCGCTGCAACTGATCCAGTTGGAAAAAGAATACAAGGTATAATACAATTTCTGTGTATAGTTTAGCCAACTAGAAGCGAAGGCTCGATACATACGTTATACAATATGCATAATTTCTACAAAATACGCTGTTCGTAACCTTATTGTTCTGAAATTCGTATAATTTAAAATACATGTATTCAGAACTAATCAGCAGAAGTGAAAAATTTCGGCAGGAAGACAGCAGTTTCGAAAGTTTCAAGTTGCAGGTTTATAACAAAGCGATTTAATAATTTACGTCAATTTCCTTTCACGTCCAGTTTCAAGTATTCACGTCTAAAATTCTATCATCACGCCATCAATTATAAATCTGAGTATCTATATAAAATCTACAGAATCAATTGTGAAAAATACCCATGCGATATTTACCCTCATTTTCAATGCAAATATCCAAAATGTGTTTGTCGGCGGTGCATAATAGAGCGATGTTTAAAAAATTGATCGATGACTCACTAACGTAACAGATCGGGCGAAACAACACCGTTCGACCGAGCCGTTTCGGGGCAAATAACGTCGATCTAATATTTTCGCCGAAATAAATTTTTCGTTACACGGCCTGGTGTCATGAAAGCGTTAAAAAACGCGTTGTTTGCTCCGCAGAAGCGCGAATAAACAATTTTATATTTCCCTCTTGTCTGATGCCTTCCCCGCACCCTTCTCTCGTGGCCGTGACGCGACAAGTCCCGCACCCGATGTAACTTTTATTACGAGTCACCAAAATTGCAACTTTCGACGAAAACTCGCGGTTCCGCTTGTATCGCAGCCGCGCGTGAATTATCGAGGCGAGTAGAATGCCGGAACGATTTGCAGCGATTCCGGCGTTTCATTCACGGGCCAGGATTTTTGGCACGATCTCAAAAGAGCGGACAGCACGATCGAGGATCCAGCATTCCCTCGTTCCGTCTAGCCGACCGCTACACCAGCGCCAAGTAACCACCTGACAGATCATTCGTCACGGTGGGGCTCTCGCACGTCACATACCCTTCGTGTAAACGTCTCGCAAAATTGGCAGCGTCTTCTCGTCATCGTCGCTCATATCGTCCTCTTCCCTCCTCCCTTATTCCTTTCGCTCTCTGTCACGCCATTGCTGGTCCGTATTACTCGTTCACACGCGCACGTCTGCATTTAGCCAAACACGTCGGATCGTGGCACACTGCGTGCCAGCGCCGACTATTAAGCCGTCGTGAATATCCCAACTTAGTATCACGGAGGAACACAGAGAGGTGGGCACGTATCGCGAGCAGCTTTTAGCCCAAGGCGGCTCTACCATTTTTAAAGCTCCACCAACTGGATATAGGAGGAATGGGGTTACGTGGCCCCGGCATTCCTTGCTAGATCGTGCGCGCGTTCTTGTGCTCCAGCCTGTGCACCCGGCGTAGACCAAGAAAGAGCACGCGCTTATGTATACGTATACTTAGTATCCGGTTTGGTGCAACTGAGAAGATGGTACGCTCTGCGCAAAGACAAACCGAATATGTGGGAGTGGAATTTTTTTCTCCCCGGCTATATCTTTCAGCAAAATTAGATTTACTATTGAATCCGAGAGTAAAATAACTGAGAAGTGTGTAGATAGACGAGTACGTTTTTGACAGAGTTCATAATAAGTACCGTGAGATGAGATCTTTATTTGAAAAACCTTTATAATTGTAATTATTGCGAAAAATGAAAATTCTAACAAGGACATTAGGGAAAGAATAACAATTTTGCTTTGTCAGTAGAAACGAAAATATGTATATATGAAATATTTCAACGTTGGATTGGCAAGTCACATTAACGAGGTACTAAATATTTTTTTAAACAAAATTCTAAAACGACTGGTCTTCAGCATAACTCACGTAGAATTACATTCGTCTGAGTTACAGCTGTAATACTTACTCTATACCTTCTATATAGGACTAAAGAACTGATTTTTGTTTCTTACAACGGATTACTCTTGGAGAGAATCTTCGGGGGGGGGGGGGGCTGAAG